CATTTACCCAGAATGCTTTGTGCGCAAATAAAATGGCTCCGTCTGTGATAAAATATATTTTTAAAAATGATAAAAACCAAACAGCCTACAGTATTTTACAGTCTTTATTTTACAGTTAAAATATATGTTTATCAAATAAAGTCTAATGTTWYAACTAATCAGGGATCCCTTTAATTGGTGCATTTATATATTTCTGCTTTTATTCCTAATTATGAGAGTGTCGGTCCTCCGTATGACCCCCCTGATTAAAACAAACTTGAGTTCTTCCTGCTGGGTTCATGTTCTTGTTAAATAATTAGTTTGTGTGTTCAGACTGTAGCAGGTGAAGCTAACGCTCTCGTCCTGCTGCAGCGTGACCTCACATCACACGCTGCGAGCTTACCGCCTTCTCAGCTGCAGTCAACGTGTTAAAGAGGTGTGTGCTGTCGTCACCCCCCCGCCACACACACACACACACACACACACACACACACACACACACACACACACACACACACACACACCGCTGCTGGAAGACACAGTCGAAGGCTAATTAACCCACTGATTACCTCATTAACCCCGACACATCAGAGGTTTCCTCCTGGGCCTGAACGCAGCACTGACATGTCACAGGGCGTCTGCAGGAAGTGATGTCACAGAAACCATCAGCTGGAGGTCTGGACCTGAGCTGGTTCTGTTTGTGTCGGTCTGACTTGTTCACGGGTTTATTTCTCCTCAGGGAAGATCCGATCCAATGAAAGGAAAAACCTAATGAAGGCTCTGAAGCCTCAGGTTTGTGTCTCCTTCCATTTGAGGATCAGGTTCTACATCAGGACCTGGTTCCTGGACCGTCTCCTGATCATCAGAATCAGGAGGGGTTTTCTGGCTCCTGGTCCACTCGGACCCACAGAAACCAGGTCCTGATGTGTTTAAACAAAGGTTCTGTCTGTTTCTGGACTTCCTGTTCCTCTTCATCACAGCCCTGAATGAATGTTTATTCGAAGCCCACGCCGCACAACGACCATCAGTGGGCCGGCGTGACGCGGGCCAGCCGGTCCCTTTCTCGCTCTCCCTGTGGTCTGACGAAGAGGATGGGAACGTGGACGGTGTCCGAGCCGCTCCTTCAGAAACAGACGGAACAAAGAAAGCGTTCAGAGCCCACGCTGGTCTCTCCAGAGCCAAACTTCTTTCATTTTCCCCTCCAGGCTCTTTGAAAACATCTCAGCTCCGTTCTGTAGGTCTGAGGCCGTCCTGCTGCAGGACCCAAGTGTCTCTGAGCTCAAACTGAAGGCCGAGCTTAGTCCTGCAGCTGGTCCAGGTCCTGGTCCTGAAGCTGCAGCCCCAGACCATTATAAGTATTCTTATTAATGTTAAGTTAAATTTGATTAAAGGGATCACTGATTAATTTTAATTAATTTTAAAGTTTAAAAATATATTTTAACACGGACGGAGCCATTTTATTTCCACACAAAGCATTCTGGGTAAATGATGACGTGGAAAGGTCCTCGGTTAAAATACATTTTTAAACTTTTAGTTTAAAAATAATATCTAAACAGCCTACGGTATTTTTACAGTCTTTATTTTACAGTTAAAATAAATGTTTATTAAATTAATCATGGATCCCTTTGAGGTTGAAACCAGATAAACTCTGTAAAACTGCAGAAACTTGCTCATGTTTTCAGTCAGCTGTGTGGAAAGTTTTCAGGAAATCCCTGAGAAAGCTCCGGACCTGCACAACAAAGCCTCGCTCCACTCTTTTCTTTAAGACGGCGTCAGCTCTGAGMGCCACTTCCTGAATATTTATTTCAGCGGAGCGTCTCTCCATAACGACGCTGAAGTTTGCGGCGTCTTATTTTGAAATGTATATCTGGTTTTAATTGTGAGGAAACACACAAACGTGGCACCGGGGGCCAGATGTGGCGGCGCTGATTTGCATCTCGTTCTCTGGCTGTCGGTCGGTGAGGAAGTGAGGTTCTGTCGAGGCACTTCCTGACGAGCCGACAGGCTCCTCCCACAGTAATTAGCTGCAGAGCTTGTAATTGGGCAGGACCGGTCTCACTAAGTGATTTCCTGACTGTCAAACAAGCCAAATTACCGTGAGTGATACTTTTCATTTAGTTAGCATCAAACAGCCTCAACACTCAGCTTCCATATGTGCATCTGATGCAACGCTCGCCATAAAACCGCCGCAGCCAGATGTTCCCCTGCAGCCCCGCCGTTATCAATGCAAATTTATTCATTAAACTATTTAATTGTGTGGGTGATTGACAGGTGGCGGAGCGCTGACGGAGGATTGTTATGAAGCTAATAATCTGTTAGTCTTATTAACTCCCCGTGCCAGCAGCATGGCTGTCAACATTTATGTGGATTAACCCTCCTAATGTTGCAGCAGGAAGTTCTCAGCTGCTCGCCACCACGACAGACGGGCTCACCGGTTGGTCGCCGCCGCGGTCAGCCCCCCCGCCGTGACAAACACATGGAGGTTATGTAACTGAGAGGGGAGTAACGCAACCACGCTTCGACAAAACAGCAAGTTGAAAAACGTTTTGTTTTGTTGAGACAAAAAATAATAAAACTCCCTGAAACAGAAAAACACCTCCAGAGAAGCTGGAAAGAGTTTCCTTTTATCCGAGCGGACAGTGAAGTACACACGAAAACAGGATGAAGACTGAAAAACTTATTGGGTTTCAGGCTTTGAAAATACTATTTATTTATTTATTTATTTATTTATTTATTTATTTATTTATTTATTTATTTATTTATTTATTTATTTATTTATTTATTTATTTATTTATTTATTTTTTTAGGTTTTCAGTGATAAAACTGAGCAGTTAAATAACTTAAAAATACAAATACTACTACTATTTATACTACTACTAAAATACTACCAATATTAATATTACTACTACTACTACTAATAGTACCACTGCTACTAATATTACTACAACTACTGCTACTACAAAAATTACTAATATTATGACTAAACCCACCACTACAACTTAAACTACTATTACTACATCTGCTAATATTACTATAACTACAGCTAATGTACTACTATACAATACTACTAATTCTACTACAAATAGAAACAACAAAAACAACAACAAGAATAATAATGAGAATAATAATAAAATAGCAACAATAATAACAATAACAGTAATAATAATAATAATAGTAATAATAATAATAATAACAGTAATAATAACAATAATAGTAATAACGGTAATAATAATAGTATTGTTAATGAGTCTGCCTCAGTGTTTGTAACAATGAGCTCCATCAGGGTTTCAGCAGAGCAGGGGCTGATGGGAGTCCAGCATCGACTCTTCTGTCCGTCAGTCA